AGAGAGAGAGACCAGAGAGAGAGACCAGAGAGAGAGACCAGAGAGAGAGACCAGAGAGAGAGACCAGAGAGAGAGACCGTGGGCTGTGAGCTTCCTGTTCTGGAGGTTCTTTATAAATCCACACTTTTAAACAAAGCTCTTAGGATTGTTAATGACTCTTCTGGCCACCCTGGAAAAGCCATGTTCCAGCTTCTTCCCTCTGGCAGAAGATATCGCTCTCTGAGATGCAGGACATCTCGTTACTCTAACAGTTTTTATCCACAGGCTGTTATCAGTGTAAACAGAGCACTTTAATGATTTGCACTTGTTTTGAAACTGTTTTAGTCGATCCATTTCACAGTGACATTTGTTTACTGTTTTATTTCTGTCTTTTATTGTCTGTATTTGTCTGTGCACACTGGAGACTTTTGCTAATGTATTCCTATGTGGTTTTACTGCAAATGGCAAATAAACTGAATCTGATCTGCATGCAAAATATAACATGGAAAAGAGCAGGGTTAAATTTAACTTGAGATGCAACGTATAAAGTGTACATTGTTCAAGCTCTTGCAGGATTGATATTTTGTCGCTGATAACGACTTGTACTTTATAGGCTACTTTCACAGTACAGTAGTAATAAAGCACCTGTGTACAAACCACAGCAGCGACATCTGAAAAGAAAATCATCTTCATCCACGTACAGGCCGCACTTAAATGTAAGCCGCAGGTTTTCAGGTTGAAATGTAGCACTTGACAAAACCTCATCTCTTCTGACTAATCTTTGTGCTCAGATTAGTTTGAGTCTCTCTTAATCACATTTAAACAAGTCCTGAGTGTTTCCCTCATGTCGGCGCTCTGCTGTTCACATAAACGCCACAGGAAGCAGGAACGTGTGCCGAGTGAGCAGCTGAGTCCAAACCCTGTGCTCCGTCACGTACAGACCGCAGGAGGTTGTCTGAAAATCACTGAATTATTATAGTTTTTGTTCTCGACTCGTGCCATTCTTTAAATATACTTTTCATATTTTGTAACGTGTGTCTCTGCGAAAATCACGGGTCTTTATAACGACTTCTGTTTGGAAGTTTGTTTTCACAAAAACTAAAAGGTATGAATTTTTCAGTAAATCTGATTTTGGATCTCGTTCTGGATCCAGGATTTCTTTGGAGAATGTGGAAAATTGTTATTTTTTTCATCAAAACAAAGATGTTACGGGAGATCTTGCTAGAAATGAGTGAGGGTGAGTTTGTGTAGCACAGTTCATACACAAGATGAAAGTGCTGAACGGAACAAGAGCAGAATCATTAAAATCATTTAAATAATCACAGTGCGTTCAAAAGAGCAAATATACATTGGACCTGGATCTGAACATTGTCAGAGAAGAAGCCTGTCTCACACTTTCAGGAAGACTGTTCTAGGCTCTACCCTGTGCTCCTCGGAGCCCCGGCAGGAGGCCAGTCCCTGTGCTCCTCGGAGCCCCGGCAGGAGGCCAGTCCCTGTGATACGGGCACATTATGACCAAATGAATGTTTATCAGTGTTGTTTGTTTAAAGACACGGGTTTGTGTTGAGTCTGAAAAGTGCTTTTGTTTCAGCGACGCCTCGAGCAGAAGTTCAGGAAAGAACTGAACTTGAGACGTTATCTTTAAGGAGACACACCGTGGCTCTGCGCTTTTTGTAGTTATAACTGAGAAATTCTTTTAACTGGGGAAAAAAGGGAGTTAGACCAATGTTTCATGTTTATTAGCAGATGTCCGGTGGTAGCCAGGCACATATGGGCCGATACGAGCCATCCCCGGTCATTACAGATGTGGTATGTGCAGGTGCCTGACCATGGCTGTGAACGTGTACTCCACCTCCGTGACCAGTGACAACCTGAGCCGCCATGAGATGCTGGAGTGGATCAACCAGTCTCTGCAGATGAAGTTCAGCAAGATCGAGCAGCTCTGTTCAGGTACGAGTCTGGACTTTACTGAAAGGTGAAGCAGACGGCGAGACACGGGAAAGATCACGGTGTCTCTCTCTGTCTGTGTGTCTGTCTCTCTCTCTGTCTGTGTTTCTCTCTCTCTCTCTCTCTCTGTCTGTGTGTCTGTCTCTCTCTGTCTGTGTTTCTCTCTCTCTGTCTGTGTGTCTGTCTCTCTCTGTCTGTGTTTCTCTGTCTCTGTGTGTCTGTCTCTCTCTCTCTGTCTGTGTTTCTGTCTCTCTCTCTCTGTCTGTGTGTCTCTCTGTGTGTATCTGTGTGTGTGTGTCTCTCTGATTCTGTCTCTGTCCGTGGGTGTGTGTTTTCTGGGAACATTGTTGTGCTGTCTGGGTGTGTGTGTTGGTGCCATGTTGTGTTCAGCTGAGAATGTGTCGCTGCTGTGTGAGTCTCATTGTGATGGTTGCAGAGCGGTGATGTCACACGTTTGCATTCCCATCAGATGTGACGAGACGTGTCCAGTTTAAAGCAGTATTTATGCAAAACTGTCAGAGCTGTTTAAACCACCACACACAGACGGACAGACAAACACACGCACACACACGGACGGACGGACAGACACACACACACACACACACACACACACACACACACACACACACACACACACACACACACACACACACACACACACACACACACACACACACACACACACACACACACACACACACACACACACACACACACACACACACACACACACACTCACACACACACACACACACACACACACACACACACACACACACACACACACACACACACACACACACACACACACAAAAAGTAGTTTAAACAATCATTAGTTAGGATGAATCTTAGAGTAATCTTGTATCAGCCATTCCTGTAGAAACTGCTCTGCCCTGAAGGTAGTGTGATCACCTGTGTTTGTCTGTGAGAGGATTCAAAGGTTAAAATGTCCACGAGTCGTTTGTCAAAAACATAAATCTGTTACTCAGTCCACGATACTCATCTCATCCTTTGTTCCAATTGTTGGTTCAATCCAAACTAAACCAAAGAGACAAAATAATAAATATCTAAAATACTGTCGTGATTATAATGATCATTTTATAGAAGTAAGTTTTTGCCAAATGGTGGCGGTGATATCGGCCCAGCCCCAACATGACGATATCTACTGTGAAGTGCTGGGCTCTAGGCAGGCGTATGTGCTCTCCGGGTGCTCCTGTATTGAAGGATGGTCTGTCTTTTCAGGAGCCGCGTACTGTCAGTTCATGGACATGATGTTTGAAAACTGTCTCCCGCTGAAGAAGGTGAAGTTTGGAGCCAAACTGGAACACGAGTTTATCCAGAACTTCAAAATGCTGCAGGTCGCATTCAAGAAGATCGGAGTCGATAAGGTGAGGGGGGGAGGGGGGAGTGGGTGAGGCTGGGTGGGTGAGGCTTTGGTGGGGGTGAGGCTTGGTGGGTGAGGCTTGGTGGGTGAGGCTTGGTGGGTGAGTTCCTGGACCGGTTCTGAAGTTAGAGCAGCAGAGTAGAGTTACTATAGCAACATGTTTATTGTCAGCATTTAGCAAAATCAAAGTTTTAACCCAAACATAAAAGAGCGTCGTGATGCTCAGTCCTAAAGATGACCCAGTCTGTCCTAAAGCGGGTCATGTGTCTGTGAGTGACCCCAACATTTGACCCGTTTGTGTGTGATTCACTGAAAGACCGTCTCACGAGCTCATGTTGCACCTGTGGGCTTTGATCTGGTCCCTTTGATACGGCACAATACTCTATTATCTGTGGAACAGCCATTCTCTGCTCCTCGGGTTTGCTGCCCTATTGTGGCGCAACCTGCAGACCTCTGAAGCTAAGCAGGGCAGGGCCTGGTTAGTGCTGTGATGGGAGACCTCGGGGAACAGCAGGTGCCACAGTGCAGGGCTGCGGCTGTAAAGTGCCAAACTGTGGTTGTCGTGGGCAGCTATGGTTAAAGTAGTTTATGCTTTGATGGTACAGTTTCCTTGTGTGACGTTGCCGTGGTGATGTGCCATACAAACAGTCTCCTCTCCTTCAGAACATCCCGGTGGACAAACTGGTGAAGGGGAAGTTCCAGGACAACTTTGAGTTTGTGCAGTGGTTCAAGAAGTTCTTCGACGCCAACTACGGCGGCCACGAATACGACCCGGTGGCAGCGCGGCAAGGACAGGAGCCAGTGTCCACCACCACGCCTGCCCTGGGGCAGACTAAACCCGTCAAGAAGGCCCTGAGCCAAGGTACTGAGGCCACCAGCACCTGTTCAGAGGCTACATGGTCTCTTTAATCTCTCTTCCTGGTGTCTCTCTCTCCCTGGTGTCTGTCTCTCTCTCTCTCCCTGGTGTCTGTCTCTCTCTCTCTCCCTGGTGTCTGTCTCTCTCCTCTCTCTCCCTGGTGTCTGTCTCTCTCTCTCTCCCTGGTGTCTGTCTCTCTCTCTCTCTCCCTGGTGTCTGTCTCTCTCTCTCTCTCTCTCCCTGGTGTCTGTCTCTCTCTCTCTCTCCCTGGTGTCTGTCTCTCTCTCTCTCTCTCTCTCTCCCTGGTGTCTGTCTCTCTCTCTCTCTCCCTGGTGTCTGTTTCTCTCTCTCTCTCTCTCTCTCTCTCTCTCTCTCTCTCCCTGGTGTGTCTCTCTCTGGTGTGTCTCTCTCTCTCCCTGGTGTGTCTCTCTCTCTCTCTCCCTGGTGTGTGTCTCTCTCTCTCTCTCTCCCTGGTGTCTGTCTCTCTCTCTCTCTCTCTCCCTGGTGTCTGTCTCTCTCTCTCTCTCTCTCCCTGGTGTCTGTCTCTCTCTCTCTCTCTCCCCTGGTGTCTGTCTCTCTCTCTCTCTCTCCCTGGTGTCTGTCTCTCTCTCTCTCTCTCTCTCCCTGGTGTCTGTCTCTCTCTCTCTCTCTCTCTCCCTGGTGTCTGTCTCTCTCTCTCTCTCTCTCTCTCTCTCCCTGGTGTCTGTCTCTCTCTCTCTCTCCCTGGTGTGTCTCTCTCTGGTGTGTCTCTCTCTCTCCCTGGTGTGTCTCTCTCTGGTGTGTCTCTCTCTCTCTCTCTCCCTGGTGTCTGTCTCTCTCTCTCTCTCTCTCTCCCTGGTGTCTGTCTCTCTCTCTCTCTCTCTCCCTGGTGTCTGTCTCTCTCTCTCTCTCTCTCCCTGGTGTCTGTCTCTCTCTCCCTGGTGTCTGTTTCTCTCTCTCTCTCTCTCTCTCTCTCTCCCTGGTGTGTCTCTCTCTGGTGTGTCTCTCTCTCTCCCTGGTGTGTCTCTCTCTCTCTCTCCCTGGTGTCTGTCTCTCTCTCTCTCTCTCTCCCTGGTGTCTGTCTCTCTCTCTCTCTCTCCCTGGTGTCTGTCTCTCTCTCTCTCTCTCTCCCTGGTGTCTGTCTCTCTCTCTCTCTCTCTCTCTCTCCCTGGTGTCTGTCTCTCTCTCTCTCTCCCTGGTGTCTGTTTCTCTCTCTCTCTCTCTCTCTCTCTCTCTCTCTCTCTCTCTCTCTCTCTCCCTGGTGTGTCTCTCTCTGGTGTGTCTCTCTCTCTCCCTGGTGTGTCTCTCTCTGGTGTGTCTCTCTCTCTCTCTCTCCCTGGTGTCTGTCTCTCTCTCTCTCTCTCTCTCCCTGGTGTCTGTCTCTCTCTCCCTGGTGTCTGTTTCTCTCTCTCTCTCTCTCTCTCTCTCTCTCCCTGGTGTCTGTTTCTCTCTCTCTCTCTCTCTCTGGTGTGTCTCTCTCTCTCTCTCTCCCTGGTGTCTCTCTCTCTGGTGTGTCTCTCTCTCTCTCTCTCTCCCTGGTGTCTCTCTCTCTCTCTCTCTGCCTGGTGTCTCTCTCTCTTTCTCTCTCCCTGGTGTCTGTTTCTCTCTCCCTGGTGTCTGTTTCTCTCTCCCTGGTGTCTGTTTCTCTCTCCCTGGTGTCTGTTTCTCTCTCCCTGGTGTCTGTTTCTCTCTCCCTGGCGTCTGTTTCTCTCTCCCTGGCGTCTGTTTCTCTCTCCCTGGTGTCTGTTTCTCTCTCCCTGGTGTCTGTTTCTCTCTCCCTGGTGTCTCTCTTTCTCTCTCCCTGGTGTCTCTTTCTCTCTCCCTGGTGTCTGTCTCTCTCTTTCTCTCTCCCTGGTGTCTGTTTCTCTCTCCCTGGTGTCTGTTTCTCTCTCCCTGGTGTCTGTTTCTCTCTCCCTGGTGTCTCTGTTTCTCTCTCCCTGGTGTCTCTGTTTCTCTCTCCCTGGTGTCTCTCTTTCTCTCTCCCTGGTGTCTCTCTTTCTCTCTCCCTGGTGTCTGTTTCTCTCTCTCTTTCTCCCTGGTCTCTCTCTCTCGCCCTGGTGTCTGTCTCTCTGTCTGCCTCTCTGGTCTCTCTCTGTCTCTGGGTTCTCTGCCTCTCTGTCTGTCTCTGGTGTCTCTCTCTCTGGTAAAGGCATGTTGCTGGCCAATAGGTAAAATAAGCTAATAATAAATAAGCTCATCATAGTAAATATCAACTTTACACATAAAAAGTTACAGAATGCCCCTTTAAACATGTACAATACTGCCTGGACTATTAAGCTTACCAGTTTACCATTGGCACCAGCTACATAGTAAAACTAATGTTGTCTCAGTCCTATTGTTTTCACCCTAAAGCTCTTTGCTCGTTGTTCCAGGTCCTGCCAGACCGCCAGTTGCCAAAGTCGCTCCCAAAATGGCGTCTCCGAGCTCGAGGAAAACTGTGGGCGGAGACGAAAACCGGGAAGTGCTGCTAAACAAGGTGAAAAAACCACCAAAATACAGACCATGTGTTTTTGGGCGTTTACTTTATTAACTGACGGAAAGATCCAATGTCCAAACGAATCTCTAAACACACGGTTTAACATTTACAGACTTTTAGTAAACCTCACACTTGGACACGACATCAGGGACGTTGCTTTATTCTGTATTTTCTGGACTATAGGCCGCACCTGAACATAGGCCGCACCCGAATATAGGCCGCACGCGAATATAGGCCGCACGCGCCTGAGCACGTAGGCCGCACGCGCCTGAGCACGTAGGCCGCACGCTACGTGCTCAGGCGCTCTCACGTTCTTTTTCTGTTTCTGTGATTGTGGTGGCCGTGGTTGTTGTGGTTGTTGTGGTTGTTGTGGTGGCTGTGGTTGTTGTGGTTGTTGTGGTTGTTGTGGTGGCTGTGGTTGTTGTGGTGGCTGTGGTGGCCGTGGTTGTTGTGGTTGCTGTGGTTGTTGTGGTGGCCGTGGTTGCCGCTGTGGTTGTTGTGGTGGCTGTGGTTGTTGTGGTGGCCGTGGTTGCCGCTGTGGTTGTTGTGGTTGTTGTGGTGGCCGTGGTTGTTGTGGTGGCTGTGGTTGTTGTGGTGGCCGTGGTTGTTGTGTTGGCCGTGGTTGTTGTGGTGGCCGTGGTTGTTGTGGTGGCCGTGGTTGTTGTGGTGGTTGTGGTGGTTGCTGTGGTTGTTGTGGTGGCTGTGGTTGTTGTGGTGGTTGTTGTGGTTGTTGTGGTGGTTGTTGTGGTTGTTGTGGTGGTTGTTGTGGTGGCCGTGGTTGTTGTGGTGGCTGTGGTTGTTGTGGTTGTTGTGGTGGCTGTGGTTGTTGTGGTGGTTGTTGTGGTGGCCGTGGTTGTTGTGGTTGTTGTGGTGGCCGTGGTTGTTGTGGTGGCTGTGGTTGTTGTGGTGGCCGTGGTTGTTGTGGTTGTTGTGGTTGTTGTGGTGGTTGTGGTGGTTGTTGTGGTTGTTGTGGTGGTTGTTGTGGTTGTTGTGGTGGCTGTGGTTGTTGTGGTGGCTGTGGTTGTTGTGGTTGTTGTGGTGGCTGTGGTTGTTGTGGTGGCCGTGGTTGTTGTGGTTGTTGTGGTTGTTGTGGTTGTTGTGGTTGTTGTGGTTGTTGTGGTTGTTGTGGTTGTGGTGGTTGTTGTGGTTGCCGTGGTTGTTGTGGTGGCCGTGGTTGTTGTGGTGGCCGTGGTTGTTGTGGTGGCTGTGGTTGTTGTGGTGGTTGTTGTGGTGGTTGTTGTGGTTGTTGTGGTTGTTGTGGTTGTTGTGGTGGCCGTGGTTGCCCCTGTGGTTGTTGTGGTGGCTGTGGTTGTTGTGGTGGCCGTGGTTGCCGCTGTGGTTGTTGTGGTGGCTGTGGTTGTTGTGGTGGCCGTGGTTGCCGCTGTGGTTGTTGTGGTTGTTGTGGTGGCTGTGGTTGTTGTGGTGGCCGTGGTTGTTGTGGTGGCTGTGGTGGTTGTTGTGGTGGCTGTGGTTGTTGTGGTGGCTGTGGTTGTTGTGGTTGTTGTGGTGGCCGTGGTTGTTGTGGTGGCCGTGGTTGTTGTGGTGGCTGTGGTTGTTGTGGTGGTTGTTGTGGTGGTTGTTGTGGTGGCTGTGGTTGTTGTGGTGGCTGTGGTTGTTGTGGTGGCCGTGGTTGTTGTGGTGGCCGTGGTTGATGTGGTGGCCGTGGTTGCCGCTGTGGTTGTTGTGGTTGTTGTGGTGGCTGTGGTTGTTGTGGTGGCTGTGGTTGTTGTGGTGGCCGTGGTTGTTGTGGTTGTTGTGGTGGCCGTGGTTGTTGTGGTGGCTGTGGTTGTGGTGGTTGTTGTGGTGGTTGTTGTGGTTGTTGTGGTGGCTGTGGTTGTTGTGGTGGTTGTTGTGGTGGCTGTGGTTGTTGTGGTTGTTGAGGTGGCCCTGGTTGTTGTGGTGGCTGTGGTTGTTGTGGTGGCCGTGGTTGCCGCTGTGGTTGCCGCTGTGGTTGTTGTGGTGGCTGTGGTTGTTGTGGTGGCCGTGGTTGCCGCTGTGGTTGTTGTGGTGGCTGTGGTTGTTGTGGTGGCCGTGGTTGCCGCTGTGGTTGTTGTGGTGGCTGTGGTTGCCGCTGTGGTTGTTGTGGTGGCTGTGGTTGTTGTGGTTGTTGTGGTGGCTGTGGTTGTTGTGGTTGTTGTGGTGGCTGTGGTTGTTGTGGTGGCTGTGGTTGTTGTGGTTGTTGTGGTGGCTGTGGTTGTTGTGGTGGCCGTGGTTGTTGTGGTGGCCGTGGTTGCCGCTGTGGTTGTGGTGGTTGTTGTGGTTGTTGTGGTGGCTGTGGTTGTTGTGGTGGCTGTGGTTGTTGTGGTGGCTGTGGTTGTTGTGGTGGCTGTGGTGGCCGTGGTTGTTGTGGTGGTTGTTGTGGTTGTTGTGGTTGTTGTGGTGGCTGTGGTTGTTGTGGTTGCTGTGGTTGTTGTGGTTGTTGTGGTGGCTGTGGTTGTTGTGGTGGCTGTGGTTGTTGTGGTGGCTGTGGTTGTTGTGGTGGCTGTGGTTGTTGTGGTGGCTGTGGTTGTTGTGGTGGCTGTGGTTGTTGTGGTTGCTGTGGTTGTTGTGGTTGTTGTGGTGGCTGTGGTTGTTGTGGTGGCTGTGGTTGTTGTGGTGGCTGTGGTTGTTGTGGTGGCTGTGGTTGTTGTGGTGGCTGTGGTTGTTGTGGTGGCTGTGGTTGTTGTGGTGGCTGTGGTTGTTGTGGTGGCTGTGGTTGTTGTGGTGGCTGTGGTTGTTGTGGTGGCTGTGGTTGTTGTGGTGGCTGTGGTTGTTGTGGTGGCTGTGGTTGTTGTGGTGGCCGTGGTTGTTGTGCTTGTGGTGGTCGTGGTTGCCGTTGTTGCCGTGGTTGCTGTTGGTTGCCGTGGTTGCTGTGGTTAGTGACTCAGAGCTGGTCCCTCTCAGATCCAGGAGCTGGAGACGACCATCGCGGACATGGAGAAGGAGCGAGACTTTTACTTTAACAAACTGCGGGACATCGAGGTGCTGTGTCAGGAGCAGGGGGAGGACGACCCTACACTGAGGAAGATCATGGACATCCTCTACGCCACAGACGTGAGTCCACCTGGTTCTGCCCGCTCTGGTTCTGCCCGCTCTGGTTCTGCCCGCTCTGGTTCTGCCCGCTCTGGTTCTGCCCGCTCTGGTTCTGCTCTCTCTGGTTCTGCTCTCTCTGGTTCTGCTCTCTCTGGTTCTGCTCTCTCTGGTTCTGCTCTCTCTGGTTCTGCTCTCTCTGGTTCTGCTCTCTCTGGTTCATCTCAATAAAAGTCAATCGAAGCCAGAGAGATGGAGTACTTCCTTATTCAGCTTCATTGAAATAGCATGTTAGCATTAGCATCTGTATACAGTCTGTGTTAGCATTAGCATCTGTATACAGTCTGTGTTAGCATTAGCATCTGTATACAGTCTGTGTTAGCATTAGCATCTGTATACAGTCTGTGTTAGCATTAGCATCTGTATACAGTCTGTGTTAGCATTAGCATCTGTATACAGTCTGTGTTAGCATTAGCATCTGTATACAGTCTGTGTTAGCATTAGCATCTGTATACAGTCTGTGTTAGCATTAGCATCTGTATACAGTCTGTGTTAGCATTAGCATCTGTATACAGTCTGTGTTAGCATTGTCCATGTTTATACAGCTCTAACGTGGCATGTGTCTTGTTTCCAGGAGGGCTTTGTCGTACCAGGAGACGAAGCAGAAGAACAGGAGGAATTTTAATCCAAAGCCCCTTTTTGTTTTCTTTTATTTTTACACCAAGTTCTTCTCAAACGAAGACTGTCCCGACGCAATTCAAACCCCCCTCTGGACCAGTGGCCTCAGACTTGACCGGATTGTGGCCTGGGCTTCAGTTTTGGAGACGGACTCTGGTGCGATGACTCTTGTGTGTGTGTGTGTGGTTGTGTGCGTGTGTGTTGTTTGTGGTTGTGTGTGTGTGTGTGGCTGGATCTGTCCCCTGTAAGGAAGGAAGTAAAGAAAGAAAAAAACATAAAAATAATAATTCCTCTGCCTTTTGCTGGAGTCACATTAGCATTAGCACTTGGTTAGCATTAGCTTTAGTCAAGTACGTTTCTATGACAATATCTCTATAAACTCCTTTTTAATTCTCTGAGTTTTGCCAACGTAAGAATCCCAAACTCACCCAAACCACATTTAAGACTTGGATATGGGGATCCTGACTTTCACTCGTTCGTTCATTCATTCATTCGTTCGTTCATTCATTCGTTCGTTCATTCATTCGTTCATTCGTTCATTTGTTGTCTGGTTGTGAAATGGCTTCTTTAAGATCACGTTTACTACATTGAGACTTTGACTTTTCCTCAGTGTGGTTTTGATCGTAACATTTTAGTGGGTTAAAGCAAATATTTTAAGTGTGTTTTAACATCAGAACGAGACCAGTTTCTTCCAGCTCTACTCAAGCCCACTGGTCCTGTGTAACCAGTCCCAGGTCCTTCTTTAGTCCCTCTTGGTCCTGGTTCTATCCAGGCCGAGCTGGTACTAAAGTGTTTTAACTGAAAGTGATTGGACAGAGAGCAGCTGGAAGCCGTGGTTACCAAGGAATTTCCCTGAATACTGGTTTGTTATGGGGAAGTTGATTAGGATTGGGTGTCAAATAGTAAAGTGCAATGGAAACACAACCAGGTGGAGCAGGGCCGAGTAGGGCTGGTGGAAACGGGGCTAATAAACCTCTGAAAAAGCACATCTAAAGCTGTTTTTGTACTTTTGTAGCGTTAAATTGTTCTTGTGGTGCTACAGGTTTGTAAACGTTAAGGAGAGGAATTTTACTGAAATTACGCCACCATTTGGCAAAAGTCACTCAAGTCTTCAAACTGAGATGAGACTATTTTTTGTCTGATATTTTCCTCTTGATTGTGCACTTATTTGTAAAGAAATGTGTAGAGAAGCGTAATCTCTGCAGCCAGCATTTCCCCCGTGACTCCGCCTTCTTTCATTTGCACTGTCCACACCAGTGGTCCTTAAACCAGCCGGGATCTGAACCGGCTTCTCGTTGGGATTGGTTTGGGATTCTGGAGGACCTCGGTTTCTCTCACTCCCCCAAACCCAATTCCAGCCCCTTCCCAATCACCCACTAGTGCCCATTCTCTCCAACTCCTGCCCTGGTTCCCCCATCTCTCCAACTCCTGCCCTGGTTCCCCCATCTCTCCAACTCCTGCCCTGGTCCCCAATCTCTCCAACTCCTGCCCTGGTCCCCAATCTCTCCAACTCCTGCCCTGGTCCCCAATCTCTCCAACTCCTGCCCTGGTTCCCAATCTCTCCAACTCCTGCCCTGGTCCCCAATCTCTCCAACTCCTGCCCTGGTTCCCCAATCTCTCCAACTCCTGCCCTGGTTCCCCAATCTCTCCAACTCCTGCCCTGGTTCCCCAATCTCTCCAACTCCTGCCCTGGTTCCCCAATCTCTCCAACTCCTGCCCTGGTCCCCAATCTCTCCAACTCCTGCCCTGGTTCCCCAATCTCTCCAACTCCTGCCCTGGTTCCCAATCTCTCCAACTCCTGCCCTGGTCCCCCAATCTCTCCAACTCCTGCCCTGGTTCCCCAATCTCTCCAACTCCTGCCCTGGTTCCCCAATCTCTCCAACTCCTGCCCTGGTCCCCAATCTCTCCAACTCCTGCCCTGGTTCCCCAATCTCTCCAACTCCTGCCCTGGTTCCCCAATCTCTCCAACTCCTGCCCTGGTCCCCAATCTCTCCAACTCCTGCCCTGGTTCCCCAATCTCTCCAACTCCTGCCCTGGTTCCCCAATCTCTCCAACTCCTGCCCTGGGACCCAATTTTCCCGGTCTCGATGTTCCGACCCTTTCCAGTTCCCAGGTTCCTCTCGGTTCCCATCGAGAACCGGGCCATGGTCCCTTCCGTACCGTGTGCCAACAGACTCCTCGCTACACTGTGATTTTTGCCTTTGTCCAAACGTGTTCCCGACGCCACGTTTGGGGACGTTGACTGCCTTTTGAACAATCTGTAGAAAAACCAGGACTTTTTTCCAATGACTAAAGTGTGACGCGCTCTCGGCCTTAACCTTTTTATTCTATTTTCTTTCACGTTCTGGGCAAATGTTTGTATTCTAACTTTTAATATGCTGAAATAAACAATATGTATTTGGACGAATGTTTTGGGTCTGTTTGGTTTTGACGCTTTCATTACAGGCGACAATTGTCCTGGGTTCTAATCCCGGTCGGAACAGGGCCTTTCTGAGTGGAGCTTGTTCTCTCTGGGTCTGTGTAGGTTTCCTCCAGGTGCTCCTGTTTCCCCTACCACTAAAAATTCTAGTCTCTTTGCTCTATTAAAGTTGAGGTTCCTAAACTTAATGGTTTCATAAATATTTGTCCCTAAAGTGAATCGTACAACAGGCAGTCCTCATATTCTTCAACCGGAAAATGTATCTTCTACATCTCTCAGTGTAAGAACGAGCCCTGTGAGTCACTATTTGACCCTTTAGGAGACAGGACAACACTTTAGATTTTATTATAGGCCTTCTATTGTGATCTGAAAGTTTGGCTCTCCAGCTTTAACCGATATAATTTACTTGCAATTAAAAATGATCAAACAAACTTCATTCATGAAACATCAGTTATTGACATGATGCATTTCCCACTTCTACCACAGGATGGCGGTGTTTCTCATTCTCTGTTTAGCCCAGATTCAGATTCTAGTTTAGTTTTTGATTTCAGCCCAAAACTAACTACTCCATCACTTTTGCAACTCTCACTGTCTGTCTAATTAAAATGATTAATTTAGAAGCACTGCTAACCACGTCGAACCTAGATGAGCGTAGAAACTATTCACTACAAACCATGGATCATATTAACTAGCTAATAGTAGCTACAAACCTACTAATGAACTGAGGAGCACTGCTAACCATTCCAACCCTGTATTTACTTAGAAGCTTGGCTAACCACTCAAACCCCATAGTCATGCACTTTGGAGTATTTGAATATTTTAATAGATAAGGTGTGTGACCATTGTGTGTTAATGTTTACAGTCTATGGATGAAACGGGCACTTGTATTAACGCGGCTTCACCAGCAGGGGGCGACAGAACCGACACAAACTCCACAGTAGTTTTCAGGAGCGCAGTGAGTGAAGGACAAAGAGCAGACGTCCATTTTATATTTTATTATTTATTGACCTTTGTTTAACCAGAATGTCCCGCTGATGTTTTAGAATCTGACCCCAGGGAGAGAGACCAGAGAGAGATCAGAGGCAAGGCAAGTTTATTTGTATAGCACAATTCATACACAAGGCAACTCAAAGTGCTGAACAAGAAAGCATTAAAATCATAAATAATCGCAGAACATTAAAAAGAAAGATAAAAATATAAAATCCCTCAGTTGTAGCACAGCTAAACAGATCTGTCTTTAACCTGGTTTTAAACATTGTCAGAGAGGAGGCCTGTCTCACATCTTCAGGAAGACTGTTCCAGATTTTAGCAGCATGAATCTGAAAAGCAGCCTCCTCATGTTTAGTTCTGACTCTGGGTACTAACAGGAGTCCAGTCCCTGTGCTCCTCAGAGTCCCAGCAGGAGGCTAGTCCCTGTGCTCCTCAGAGTCCCAGCAGGAGGCTAGTCCCTGTGCTCCTCAGAGTCCCAGCAGGAGTCCAGTCCCTGTGCTCCTCAGAGTCCCAGCAGGAGGCCAGTCCCTGTGCTCCTCAGAGTCCCAGCAGGAGTCCAGTCCCTGTGCTCCTCAGAGTCCGGGCTGGTTCATATGGTACTAACATGTCACTAATATATTTTGGTGCGAGGCCATGGAGAGACTTGTAACAAGCAGAGCTGTTTTAAAGTCTATTCTCTGAGCCACAGGAAGCCAGTGCAGAGACCTGAGGACCGGACTAATGTGGTCGTACTTCCTGGTTCTAGTCAGGACTAATGTGGTCGTACTTCCTGGTTCTAGTCAGGACTAATGTGGTCGTACTTCCTGGTTCTAGTCAGGACTCGAGCTGCTGCATTTTGAATGTACTGCAGCTGTTTTACAGCCTGTTTGGACAGACCTGTGAGCAGGCCATTGCAGTAGTCTAACCTACTGGAGACAAATGCATGGATAAGAATCTCCAGGTCTGCTTTAGACACTATGTTTTTGATCCTGGCAATGTTTTTTAGATGGTAAAAAGCTGCTGATGTTACTGATTTGATGTGGCTATTAAAATTTAAGTCTGAGTCCAGTATTACCCCTAGATTTCTGACCTTGTTTGAAGGTTTTAGGGAGAGAGACTGGAGGTGACAGATGACGCTCTCTCTTTGTTTCTGGGGACCAAAGACAATCATTTCAGTTTTGTCTGCGTTTAGCTGAAGGAAGTTGTTTTGCATCCACTCACTGATCTGTTGGATACAGTGAAGGAGTGAGTCCACTGGTCCATGTTCTCCTGCAGTCAGTGAGACATAGATCTGAGTATCGTCTGCATAGTTGTGATAGGACACTTTGTTTCTGCGTATTAACTGACCTAACGGCAGCATGTAGAGATTGAACAGAAGAGGTCCCAGGATCGACCCCTGTGGTACTCCACAGGTCAGGGCCATATGATCTGAGACACAGTCTCCAATCTCCACAAAGTACTTCCTGTCTTCAAGGTAAGACCTAAACCAACTTAGGGCGGTGCCAGCGACGCCAACCCAGTCCTCTAGTCTCTGTAAGAGGATCTCATGGTCGACAGTGTCAAAGGCAGCACTTAGATCTAACAAGATTAGGATTGAGACTTTACCTGCGTCAGTGTTCAGCCGGATATCATTTATAACCTTAACGAGAGCCTTTGGGAATATTCCAGAATAAAGGGACATGTTTACTATCTGTGTGAGTGAAGGTAACAGACTGCTCAGAACAGACTTTAGAAATCTAGTGGGTAGTACATCCAAGCTGCATGTGGAGGAGCTCAAACTGGAGATTATCTCTTGGACAGTTTTATCATTTACAGGTGCAAAGTGAGTTAGCTCAAAGAGCCTTTCTGTTGGATTGTTATCTGTGGATTGGGGACAATGGCGTTTTTGATGCCTTGAACCTTGTCATTGAAAAAATTAGCAAACTCATTGCATTTACGTTTGGAAGTAAGCTCTAATGGCATTTGAACAGGGGGGTTTGTTAATCTATTAACTGTTGAGAACAGAACACGCAGATTGTTGCTGCAGCCTTCAATCATTTCAGAAAAATACCTTTCTCTCAGAGAGAGTCTCAATCTCCGGTTCCGTCCGTCACATTAAGGACCTGCTCTATACACAAAGACAAACACTATATTTACATTTATGCAACATAAATATATTTTTAGGTCAAACCAGTACAAACATTTATCTGTTCATTCATAAAGAAAAAAAGAATGAGTTCACTGCAAAAACTGACAAAAATGGCTCCAATTTGGTCGAATGTGTCTTAAAAAACTAGATTCTCCAAACGGGAAAATGTGTCGGATTCAATGGTGTAGGTTTGGTTCCAATCTTGGTGGGGACATTCACTACGACCTGAGTCTACACCCATTGACACGGGGTCCAGAGTTTCTCCCCCAGAATTTGTTGCGTAATCACACACTATATTTGCAATAGTGTGTTGCCTTCTATACTAAACTCAGCTGTAGACTGAATAAGAAGCAGTTAAGGATTTTTTCTAATAGTTAAAACAAAATCAATTGGATCAGAGCTTCTGAGTTTTGTGTTGCGTTCATTCTAACTTTGTCCACAAGATGGCTTAAATGTTTATAGTAAATAAGATAAAGTAAATATATCCTGTATTCAAGATCAGGCTGATATGGTTTACAACCTATCTCAAATATGCTGTCCCTGGCACTGTCTTGAGAGTGACTCTCATTGGCTGCCTCCTAAATAGCAAATACACTGTTATGAAACTTTAAAAAATCCCATATTTTATCTTCATAATTCCAGCCTCACCTGAAGCCCAGCTTCGATATCTGCCTGCACTACATCTTCCCTGAATACCTGAGTTCCCTATAATAAATAAAACACATGTAGTACATTAAACAAATCAGATCTAATCATATACAAAATAAAACCACCAACAAAACCAAATAAATACTTTCAACCTCACCTGAAGCCCTGAAGGTCCAGCCACTTCCTCATCCTCTACCAGCACTGCACATTCCCTGTTTGTCTGACTTTCCTTTATGGTATTAATAAAAACACACATTCTACATTGAATAAAATGAAACCTAGGCATGGTACACCAGTCGCTAAATATCTCATGAAACTAGAATTGGTTGATGGGTCTAAGATTATAACTGCTTAACCCTAACCTCACCTGGAGTCCTGTCTTGTCCTTGTCTTTATCTCCTTCTTGAATTTCCATTATATCTCTCAGAATGTTTGCATCATTATAGTAGTAAAATATGTTGTAATTGGCATAGGTAATTTCCAACCAAATGATGTTCTTTAACTTTAGTATGATTCTATACTGACTTAAACCTAATCCAAATCTACATAATAGCCCTCACCTGAGGCTCTAACTCGATACTTGATATAAATCATGCTCTGATCTTTCAATTTCCTATAATAAATAAAAACAGAGGAGAAAATATTGAATTAGAATCTACAGTGAGTAGCTCACTACATTGTTTGACATATACGATCAATCTCTAAAAACAATTCATAGTCCCATGCATACCTACAAAATTCCAACCTTGCCTGATGCACTGAAGGGCCTGTTGCTTCTACCTCAACATTCCCTATATTGTTCTCTCTTGTTGGTTGAGGTTCCTATGTATGTTAACAGAAGATTAATCATCACAATTCATAATTTGCTATTACTTGTGCTTTCTCTTACTTACTTTCCAACTGTTAAAAAAGCTCCTGATATATTTTATCTTTTTTTGTGGAGGTGGCATTTTTTCTAAATTATATAAGAAGGTATAGACAATCAAAAACAGACATTCATATACATGAACTGCAGAATCATTTATATA